GACATAAATCTGTATGTATGGTGTCCTTTATAGACTTAATTTTGATGTAAAAAATACTATATATATTTATTATATATTAAGATATATAATGCTTTTTGAGGGGGTCTGGTTTACAAAGTTATTCCCACACCAAAGCCACAAAGACATTATTCTCCATGATCTCCCTCTTCCTATGCTAGTACCAGAGTAATGCTAGTACCATTCTAGCAGAGTGACTCTCTCCCTGTCACATGACAGATTGTCTGGAAGCAGAATCTGAGATGGACTTTGGGATGTAAAAGGTTTACTAAAAATTAGCACCTGTGAAAGGGAGGGGAAGGAAGTAGAATTGGGCAGAGAAAGTAATTGAACTAAGATGCAGGTTGATAAAGCCTCCGGCAACCCAGTGAAGCACTTTGGAACAAATACTATTAATCATCAGAGTGTCCTGCATCAGGCTGAAATGGCCAGACTTTTTATAGCTCACTTGCCCTCAGTCACCATATCCTGGCAGCCCTGGAAGGATGTGACCTTGGGCAAGAGAGTTCCCAGCAGATGAGGCTGACCCTGAAGCAGCTGAGAGCTGGAGGCTGTATAGTAGCTGCCCTCCCTGCAGCTGGGCAGTGAGTTCTTCCTCAAAGGAGGATGTAGGCTGTACATCTCCATGTCTAACATACTCTTCTTTGTCCTTCTTTTTAAAAATTGACATCATAATTATTCACAGATCTTTATTTTTCTTTATAAATTCTGCAAGTTTTTTTTTTTGTGTTCCTTTTGGAATTTTGGTTGGAATGGCACAGAATGTATGCCATTCAATGTGAGGAGGATTGACATCCACTGGGTAGTGGTGTACCAAGTAGATGACATTTGGGTGGTGGCCAAACAGGTGATGCTCTGGAGAAGGAACTGCAGAAGTAACAGGTCAAGGAGGCAGCCAGTTAAATACAGAGGGGATCAAGCAAATGATTATATATATGTTGAAATCAATATGAAAAAAAGTATATGGGAGCCTGGTTTCACTGTCAAAAGGGGATTTACAAATATAGAGCAGGGGACGTCTTACAAGTACTCAGAGGTGCTGGATTGGCATCGACTGCATCAGTGTAAACTCACCGTTTTTAAATATATTTAGTGATAGGTTTAGAAATAGAGATAAATATAGGCATACACATACATATATTTCCTAGCTCTGACAGCTGAAAGAACCTAGGCGCCATGATACCCCCATAGCAGTAAACACAGAGAGCCTAGATCTAGCTTTCTGATTCCAGAGCCGAGGCAGAGAAAATACAAAATGAGCCTAGAACAACTAGTTGTACCAGAAAGTAAGGAAATGTTTATAGAATGATGGGGATATGCCAACAGGACAAAGAGTCAGCTTGAAGGGACTCCCATTGGCCAAATCTGGGACAATCTGAACATGAAAATAAACAGCTATAGTAAAACATTACAACCTATTGAATGAGATAGGAGTCCATACTGAAATAAATAAGTGAATAAATGAATAAATAAATAAATAGAAGGGAAAACTCTTCCTTATATTAGAATGTTAACTAGTAACTACAGAAGAAATGATGGACTGAGAAAATCACCATTTAATCATAATCACTGCGATGAGTGATTCAGACAGCAATTAATGGATGTTAAGGCTGGTGGGAGAGGTGAGGAACAGAATATTGGCATAATCTCAGAATATCTCCCTACAAAATATTTATCATGTACAAAGGAAATAATGTGATTTTTATGGTGGAAAAGACCACCTGACTAGATGAGCAAAGTTCTCATCACAGTGGTGTGAAGAGTTGACATCATGAGCCCCCAGGGAGATGCAAAGAAGAGCCCAGCCCCATTTCTGTGGTTTTCTTGTAAAAATGTATGTCCTGAGTCTAGTCATGAAGAACAGTAAATGGACCCAGTTGAGGATCATCCTATGGAATGAAAGGCCTGTTCTTTTAAAAACTGTCAAGGTCATAAAAGACAAGGAAAGACAGAAATTGTTCCAGATTCAAGGAGAGTGAAATACATGACAATTAAATTCAACGTAAGTTCCTAGATGGGATTTTGGACCAGAAAAGGAAAAAAGTCATCGTTGGACAGAGAGTGAAATTTTAATGGAGTCTGTGTTGTATCAATGTTGATTTCCTGACTTGGAAGTTTATGTAATGGTTATGAAGGAGAGCGCCTTTGTTTTGTGGATATACGCACTGGATGTTTAGGGCTGATAGGGTATCAAGTCTACACATTTTTATAAGATTGTTCATAAAAAGACTCAACCAAAACAATGAGCCCATATATATAGATACAAACACAGAGTGAAAGCAGATGTGCTAAGATATTATACTTAGGGAATCTAAGTGAAGAGGATATGGGAGTTCTTGCAACTTCTCTGTAATTTGAAATTATTTCAAAATACTTATGATACATATTCATATCTATTTATTTATTTGGCCATGCTGCACAGCTTGTGGGATCCTAGTTCCCCAACCAGGGATAGAACCTGGGTCCCAGCAGTGAAAGCGCCGAGTCCTAACCACTGGACTGCCAGGGAATTCCCATACAGATTCATATATAAAATAAACATAAAAACATATGTCCACACAAAAGTTTGTGCACAAATATTCATAACAGCATTATCTATAATACCCCAAAAGTGAAAACAATCAAAATATCCATTAACTGGAATGGATAGGCAAAACATCATATATCTGTACAATGAAATATTATTTGGCAATAAAAAGGAAGTAGGTACTGATACATGCTACAACGTGGATGAACCTTGAAAATACTGTGTTCGGTGAAAGCAACCAGTCACAAAAGACCACAAGTTGTAGGATTCCATTCATGTGAAATGTCTACAATAAGAAAATTCATAGAAACCAAAAGTAAATTAGCTGTTGCCAGGGGTTGAGGAGAGTGGGGGAAATGAGGAATGGCTGTTACTTATTTGGGCTTCCAATTCCATACCTCAAATTAGAGAATCTATACCTTATTTCAGAGTTGATCTCTGAAGTCTCTAGGGTCCTCTTAATCTATATGTCTGAGACTCGTAAAGAGATTGTGTTGAGGAAGTAATACCCTTGACTTGATGATTTTTAAACAACTTATATGGGGTTATTGGAAAATATATTAATTATTAACTCATTTTAGAGTAGCATGTTGTTCATTTATTTGAAACTTTATGAAACATACTTCCCAAAACCATAGGAACTTGGTTAAAAGCTAGCAAAGACTCAAACGCACCACCTAGCGGTGAAGACAGGAAGTTTCAGATTGGTGATATAAGACGTCTTGCCATCACACGCACAGGACGGCTGCCCATAGTAATCTTTTATCTTGTATTTGTCCCGTCCCCTCATCATTCAGGATAGTTTCACGTACACAGAAACCCAATACTTCCTGACTTAATAGTTTGTTCATTTGACGTACTTTTAATCCAACGAAATATTGCTGACTTCTGAGAATTGTGGGAAAATCATTGGTTTTAAGATTTGCGGGGCTGAAGGTGCCTTTCTATTCATACACCTCAAACCCCTCCTACCTAAGAGGCCCACCTAGTCTATCTCTTTGTGGATGGACACGCCACTCCACAAGCGCCTGGTTCAGAGAACCAGGACCACTGCCTTTGAAAAGACAAAAATCTATACTCCAATGGGATCCTTGATGTCAAGTATTTAACGACTTTTGTTTTACCTACTACAGAAATTAAAATTGTCTTCAAATTTAAATTTAAATATCTAAAAGCAGGAACGCACCATCCTTAATCTTAAACCCCAAAAGCAGGAAAGAGGTCAGAATCCTAGGGTACTGGGCCTATTGGTAAAGAGGGGTCTATGTTGTCTTTTCTTTTGGTTTTGCATTCCGCTCCCGTTCCTCCTGCCCCCGCACTTTCTCCTTTCCTTTTTCACTCCATCTTTTTTCTCTCTTTTCTCTTTCTCTCCCAAATAACAGTCAAGTAATTAAAATCAGCACCATGTTTAAATGGAACAGGTAGTGCCCTGCACAGGGTGATTTAATTATCCCAGGTTTTCACCTGAAAATCCCCTTCGCCATCGAAAATATTTCTCTTCGAGTTCTTTCCTGAAATATTAAGCTAACTTCCAACACTCTGCTTTAATTATTGTTAATTAAGCCTTCTTTCGAAATATCATTCTCACTCTAGCACAATTTTTTAAAACCCCTTTCCACACAACACAGGAGGGCTTCTGAATACACCAGTTTTAGAATTTTGCCTGTGCTCAGCCTTGCTAATAGAAATCTCCTGGTTTTTAAATATTAACTTAAAACGTTTGATTTCAATTTTTTACTGGGTTTACGAATGCCGGCTGTCTTTCAATGACTTAAAATGTATCCTCACCTTTGAAAACTCTAGGGCTCAGTGCCTCCACGGGCATCCAGGCATTTATTCTTAATTCTGCTTCTTAAATAGGCTCCGGGGAGGAGCGGTTTCGATGTAGAAGTTCAGGGAAGCTGTTACCACAGAACTTGCAACAGTTGGTGTCAGGCGATAGGCAGGTTGGAAGTGATAAATGGGGCTGGTTTAAGAAACAAAAAGCCCCGGGAAGGGAAAGGAAGGGACAGCCGTGGCCTTGGGGGCTGTCAGCACGGGGCCAGCGGGGCCCAGCTCCGGCCGCTGGAAGGCGCCTTCTGGAAGGCCAGAAGCGGCAGCGGCCGCGGAGACCGCAAGCCGGGAGACCGCGCACCGCTGGGTGCGGGGCGGGCGCGCGCCCAAGCCGCCCCCCGGGCCACGCCGGGGCCACCGCGAGGTGAGGCCGGCCCTGCCCCCGCGCCGCCCCCGGCGGGAGGCGCGACGCCCAGGCCGCGGGTGCGTGCGCGGCCCCGGGCGACGCGGCTGGGCGTGCGCGGGGCCGCGGTGGAGGCAGGGCCGGGCGGGCGGCAGAAGATGGCGAGGGTGTGTAGGCGGCAGCAATGCTCCGTTGAGAGACGCGGCTTTCGGCAAGAACTGGACTCTTGGCGCCACAAGCTCATTCACTGTGTAGGTGAGACCCTCCCCCGGCTGCCTCCGGCTCTCGGGCCACCCCGCCGCCGGCCGCCCGGAACGAGGGAGGGAGCCGGGAGAGAGCAATTGCTGCTCCGGCCCGCCCGCCCTCTTAGGTTTGGGCGTCCCCCTCCCCCACCCCCCGGAGTGCGGGCGCGCGCGACCTCCGGGCGGGCTCCCCGTGCTCGGGCCTGAGCGCGCGCGCCGGCCCCTCCCCTCCGCGCGCCCTCGCCGGGGCGGGCTCTCGGGCGGGAGCGCGTGCCCCTCCTTTCCTCCTTCTTTCCCTCCCTTCTTCCCTCCCTCCCTCCAGGCCCGGCGCCGCAGCTGGCTTATTGTGGAGGCTCGCCGTGCGCCGCTGCCACTGGACCGGCGGCGGCGCCGCCGCCGGTGCCGCAGAGCCCAACGCGAGAGCTGGGGGACGTGCGTGGCCGCGGCTCGACCCCCTGGCTCCTCTCTGGCCGGCGCCTTCCGCGTCGCACGCCGCCCCTCCCCCACGTGCCGCGGCGGCGCGCGCTCCTGTCCCCGCGTGCACGGGCGGCGGGCGGGCGCCCGGTGCTCGGGCGTGTGCGAGGCGTGAGGTGGAGATGGGGGCGGAGGGAGCCGGAGCTGTCACAGGCCCCGGGTCCGCCTGACCGAGCCAAGTGGGGTGTCATGGCCGCGGGGGGCAGCGGCTGCACTTCCTCTGCGGGCGGCGGCGGCGGCAGCGGCGGCAGCTGCGGCCGTGGAGTTAATCCTCGACGCTCGGGTCGGTGTGTGTGTATTTGTGTTCGGTGTGTGCGCGGCGGGAGGAAGGGGGGTGGGACCGGGTCCGTCCGGGAAGCCGGAGCAGGGGTCGTTCTTGTCCTCTCCTGGGGGATTTTCCGGAGCCGCCGCCTCGCCGAGAGCCTCGTCCGCCGCCCGCCTCCCGGACCTCAGGCCGCCTCGGGTGGCTTTTTCCGTGCGGGCAGGAGGGAGCGTGGACGGGGTCGCCCCGGGAGGGGCTGGGCGGCCGAGCTGCGCCTCTCACACTGTGTGTTTTGTCTGTTTTTCTCTCCCAAGGTCCCGTTTCCCTCTGTGCGGCGGCCGGCGGGACCATAAGGGCTTAACTCATATATTTAACCCCCCTCCAAAAAGTAAGTGGCCCGTGTGGTGTCTCCGCCCCGCCCGCCGCCCCCTAGCCCCAGTCCGTCCTGTGTCTGACTCTCCTGTGCTCCAGCATTGTTATTTCCCCATCTTTGCTTCGGTGCTGCTAATGTGTGGGGAAATGTCTCTTGTCGTCCTCCGTCCCCCACGCCCAGTCCTCGGGGAGGCCCAGAATTCCAAACCGCCCCCCATCCCCCCTGTGGGGAATGATCTTGGTCTTCCCAACAGAATCTAGGAGATTCTTTCCGTTCGCTTGGGCCCCTCATCCCCTCCTTCCCGACAGGGTTTCGTTGGAAGGAATTATGCAAATCCTGCTTTCTGGTGTCCATTCAGCGGCAATTTCATGCGGTGAGAAGTTCTCTTTGTTGTGCGAGGGGGAGAACAGACACTGATTTAATAGACATATCTGTTGGGGGGAAGGGTAGAGGGGGTGTGGAGAAGCTCAGTTTGGAAGAATTACAGCACTTGGTTAGCTCAGTGTCTTTGTGTTTGAGCTTTCTGGCTTGACAGGAGGGTATGCCCTTTACAATGTCCCACAAGGGTTATTTTCTATAATAGATTAAAAAACAGAACTGAAACTTTAAACAAGTGAAAAATAAGGTAACCTTTAGTTAGAGAATATAAACCTTTCCATTTCTGTGGTGTTTCATTATGAAAATGTATGTGAATTTTGTTAAGGGTTTAGACTGTACTATCAAAATTAATATAGGCAACAATGCTTTACAGTATCTGATATCACTTTGGTTGTCCACAGGTTAAAAGTATATTTTAAAACATATACTTGTGTAAATAATAAAAGTATGAATGCGTTTTTTGGTGTAATTTGTCTTGTGGATATATTTGAAAATTTCCCTCCTGCCAATCCCAGCCCAGCTCTGCCGTCCAGGAATCAGCCTTTTGGTTATTAGTTATCATTTACTCTGCTCTGTCTCTGCTTGTTTTATTCTTTGAAACCTATCTTAGGTTTGCTAAAATGTTACATCAGCTTTAGCACTTATTGAATTACGTGTTATTTGTAACTATCATATGAGACCTTATAAGGCATGTAGAGGTTTTGAGAATCATGAAATTAATGAGTTTTCAGAATTGTAAGTTAATACAAAATCCTGAAATTATTTCGAAGAATTTTTAGTTCTTGTATTTGTTTCACTTTTTAAATGATTGGTCTTTTTTTTCAGTAGGGCTTTTTAGTTTTTAAAAGATTTTGAAATTGAAAACTATAACCCTATAGATTTCTTAAATTACTGTTGCTTTAGTTTAGATGGTTGTTTATCTTATTCTGATTCTTTTTGCTTTGAATCCTTGCCTTTTGCCTCAGGCCCCCTTTTTATCAGTCATTGCTTAGTGTTAGTGGCGAGTTACTGCTGCTTGACAAGACGTTTTTGTTTTTTGATTTTGGGTTTTTTTTTTTAACTAATAAAATCCTTCTGTAAGTATTTGAATTGAATATCAAATTTTAGATTCTTTTTTTGAGGGAGAATTTTAATCTAGTAATCAGTTTTCTTTAAAAGCATTCTGTTAACTCCAAATATCCACTTTCGAGGTAGTAAAGTTCAGGAGATTAGAGTCCAGAGTGCAGATCAGTATTTTAGTCTGAGCAGTAATATATAGTTGATAGTCTCCCAACTAAAATCAGTTGCGTCTCATATTTTCTTTTCTATTGTATGTAATTTTGTTCTTTAGGAAAAGAGTTCTAAGTAAGTCAAATGTAGTGTTAACTTTCTATATATAGAGCAGTGGCAATGATTCTTATTTATGTATAATCCAAAAGGCAACTCTGTTTGTCACTAGCAAATGTAATAATTCCTCTTTTATTTTAATGGATTGGTTCTGAACAGTTAACCTTCTTCTATTTGATTCTCTTTACTGATTATCTTAATACTTTAGGGTCATTTGGTTCCAAAGTAATAATTTATAGCAGTCTTTGGATTGAAAGTGAATTCTCACTCATTTCCAAAATCTAATACTCCATTCTACTTTATTTTTTGGAGGGGGTTGAGGGTCAGGACTGTAGAGGTGGAAGTGAAGGTGTTTGTGTTTCCATTATTAGGTTTTAGTGGAATTGGAGTTAGCAGGTTCAGGCAGTGATTATGATCAAGATGGATATTTGGTAACCAGGTGATTATTGAGTCCTCTGGGACTAGAATGATATTCCATTCTGGGAAGATGGAGGTTCTCTCTGTTGCCTAATATGATGAAACCTATTGCTTGGCTGCTCCTCATCTTTGCTATATTCTCGAAAAGCCCTTCACAACATAGGGGAAGTTGTGATTATTTCAGCTTAGCTCTAACTTGGTGGAAAAAGGATAGCAGGATGAGTCTCTGACTTAACAGAGAGTTATTTCAAATTGCCCTAATTCCCTCAAATATGCTTATAGCTGGAGCAGTTCTAGGAAGCATCTGAATAATGCCATTTTTTTTAGCCTTATGGGGTTACACAGGATGGCCTGGAATTCCTTCCAGAGTGAGAATTAGGTATTCAATGTCTGTGGGGACTTGCCACTTCTGAGTACTTGCCTAATCACTTAGCTACTTGTACTAGTGCTGTTTTTAGGGTCGAAAGGCAGTTAGGTAAGTACATAATTACTTTATTTAAATATTTATTAAGCATCTGTCTTGTATTAGTCACTGTGGGCAAACAAAGATATTGGGGAAGCTGCCTTAACATTCAAGAACTTTTATTAGTCCTTAGAAAAAATATAGTGTATTCAGTACAAGGCAAAATGTGCCATACAATAGTGAAAGCAAGTGCTGGGGGGTGTTTGGAAGTGAAAGAAATCACTTGAGATGATAAAGAAAGGCTTCATGAAGAAGGTGGTGGATTTTTGCTTCATTCTGATGAAAATGGAGAAGGCATTCCTGTCACGTGAAACAAATAAGCAAAAGTACAAAAGGACAAGTGTGAGTTGTCTGTTTAAACTGCAGTCCAAGATTGGTGTAGGAAATGTATGGGTGATAAGTTTGCACAGATAGATTGTTGGATTTTCTAATGCAGGTTAAAAAGTGGAGTCTCTTTGTTAGGCACTTGGGGTTTGCAACACACCTCTCTCCTTAGCTCAGGAGAAGAATGTTTCCTTTATTTAAGGATTCCATTGTAAAATTCTACAATAATGATGTTGGTTGTTTTTTTAAATCACCTTGGCAGAGACAATATTGTTATCCACAGCAGTGTCTCTTCTAAGTAAGCTCATTTGGAGGTTGTACCTTATTCCATTGCACAAAACTCATTTTCGAAGTTGCCTAAAGTCAGTGGCATGTTCATTCATTGAGTCCCCTTAGTTTTGAGAAATTTTCATCCTTTAGAGGTTGGATTTGGTATTTGGAAACAGAAAAGAATATTTTCTGCCACAAATAAAGGTATATATAAAATAATGAGATTGGTTTTTTTTCCTGCCTTGCAAACTGGCTCTGAAAGCTCAGCAGAGGGGCTTGATTTGTTTTGATGTGCCTCTGAACTTCTCTCTTGATTCGTATTTCCTTTATGTCCACCTGTCTGCTGAATGGAATCTGGATATTGGGTAGATGTGAGTAAACAAAGCTGTTATTTTTTGTAGTTTCAAGTTAAAGACTTGCCATTACTACCCTCCAAATTATCTTTACTCTATTTGCAAATATTTTAAAAAATCTTTTTACTGTTAGTTATACTTGCACATTGTTTTTGGGATAATCCCAGTGTGAAATATTTGCTAATTTTATTGACTGTCTCTTGTATGTAGAAAGTATCCCAAGTCCAGTGGTCCATACCCTGAATTTTTTCTTTTTTTAATTGAGATATCATGTATATACCATAAAATTCACCCTTTTAATTCATACAAGTCAGTTGTTTTTAGTTTATTCACAAGGTTGTGCAAATATCACTAATTCTCGAACACTTTTATATCCAAAAAAGAAACCCTATACTCATTAGAAGTCATTTTGCATTTCTCCTATGACCCAGTCCTTGGTAACCCCTAATCTACCTCTGTTTCTGTGGATTTGCCTGTTCTGGACAGTTCATATAAATGTAATATTATAATATGTGGCCTTTTGTGTCTGGCTTCTTAGCATGTTTTCAGAATTCATCCATATACTGGCATATATCAGCACTTCATTGCTTTTTTTGGCTAATATTGCATTGTATGGACATACTATATTTTGTACATCCATTCTTCAGGTGTCAGACGTTTGAGTTGTTTCCACTTTTTGCCTATTATGGAGAAGCTGCTGTGAACTTAAGCAGCATTATTCCTGCGGACGTTTATCTTTTCTTCTTTTGGGTACGTACTTCAGAGTGAACTTGCTGGGTCATATAGTAACTTTTAATGTTGAGGAACTGCCAAACTGTTTTCTAAAGCGGCTGTAGTATTTTACATTCCCACCAGCGGTGTAGGAGGATTTCAGTTTCTCCACACCCTTGCCAACACTTGTTACTGTCTGTCTTTTTGGTTATAACCATTCTAGTGGGTAGGTATGAACTGGTATCTCATTGTTGTTTTGATTTGCATTTCCCTAATGACCATTGATGTTGAGCATCTTTTCATTTGCTTGTTGGCCATTTGTATATTTTCTTTGGAGAAACGTCTCTTCAGATCCCTAGCCTATTTTTTAAGTTGTGTTGTCTTTATTGTTGAGTTGTAGTGTATATTCTGGATACTAGACCCACATCAGTATATGATTTGCAAAAGTTTTTTTCTTATCGTACCCTCAATTTGAGAGTAGTTAGATCAGAAGATAATCTGCAGCATTATTCCTGTGAAGGGAATAATGGATGTTGTAATGGAGTGATCAGAACCAGAATTACTCAGGAAAGGCTTCCTTAAACATCCTTTTCCATGAATTATTAAAATTGTTATTTGATGGAGTTTTATAATAACACAGATATACTTTACTATCCAAATCTTCTAAGTTTTTGCCTTTTTTTTTTTTTTTGTGAGGGTTCATATTTCAAGTTCAAATAATGTGGTAAACCATGTTATTTGAATCTGTTCTACACCTGAGTTTTGGATAGTAT